CGCAGCTCGCTCTCCGCCGAACTCAGCACCGCGCAAACTTGGCGCCTCGACCGGGACAGCACCGCGCACCCGTAGTACTTCAGCACTCAACAACTCGCTGTCCTGTCGTCAGCCCTGCCCGCGGCGACCACGCACTGCGCGGGGACCTCGCTCCTGTCGGGGATCAGTTTCATATGGTGGTCCTTCGCGCGTGCCAGGCACCGCGCGATTTTCTTCAAGCGTCGCAGGTCTGCCCCCGCTGGCCCCGCCACGCCTCGACTGGAAACGCCAGCGCCATGAAGCTGGCCTGCGGCTGGCCAGCTGGATGAGCTTGCCCGCGCGGGCGCGGCGCCGACGATGGCCTCTCGCGTCCATCCTTGCGCCGTCATCCTGCATTCTCCACTGTTCGCACTCTCCGGCCCGAGCTCCTTTGCGGCGTCGCCCCTCAGCGAGGTCTTCCCGCCGACAAGGTAGCAGCCCTTGATCTCCTTCACCCGCGCGTTCAGGAGCGTCGCCTCGTCGCTGACCTTGCGCAGCTTCTTCGCGTCCGACAGCCTCAGTTGTTCGCCCATATCGGTCGAGAGCCGGTCGACTGACTCGCGCGGCCCTGCCGGCAGGAAGTCGCCGGACCGCCTGCCCGCCTTGGCCCCGTCGTTCGCCCTCGCGAAGAGACGGCCGTCAAAGCGCCCCCTCTCCAGGCCCATCTCCCCCTGGGCCCCCGCGCCGTGGCCCCCCCAAGCCTTCGGCGCGCCCCTCGGCCCTGGGAGCGCGCGCCAAGCTTCCCAAGCATGTCTTTCACGGACTTCGGCTTCAGGTGGCAACTCTGAACCGATGCGACCCCCCGCCAGCGGCGCCCGGTGGAGCGCCCCGCTGCAGTCGCCGAGCGCCGCGACGTGGATCTCCGCATCTACCAAAATCGCCTTCAGGCGGGGCAGCGACGGCGCCGTCGCCGCAAAGTTCTCGCGCCCGTAAGTTCGCCGACGCCCCTCGCGGTCCACCTGCTCTTCCTCGCGCCGTCCGCCTGGCAGGCGTCGACCCGCTTGCCAGTGAAGATCCTGTGCGTCGTCTCGCTGATCAAGATCGCATTCGCGATCTCCTTCCGTTCACCTGCAATCTTCTCGAAGTGCTCCTTCCTGGCCTGCGTGGAGTCGCCCTCCAGCACGTGGGCCTCCCCGTTCCCCGCCGCCGGCTCCTCGCGCGTCTCCCTGACTGCGGTGATGATTGCCATTCGGGATGTCCTGGCATCTCTTCTTCCGTCTCCATAGTGATCTCTCTTAGGGCCCCTCTCTGGCAGCGGTGCTCCTCCTGTCTGTGGTGGCGAGGCCCATGGCGTAGAGGGCCCTGCACTCCCCGCCCTCGGCCTCTTCCCTATCCTGCTCCTGCCCATGCCGATGTCGTCGAACGGAGCTGTCGCTGCAGCTGGCGCAGGCTGCGCCGGCGGGGCTTGCCCCCCGCGCGGCGGCGCCGCCGCCGCCGCCGCTGCCCCCGAGCCCCGCGGGTCCTGCTGTCGCGGCAGCGGCCCCAGCAAGATCGGCCCCTGCACCGACCGCTGCGTCGGCGGACGCCCGCTCGTCGTCGGCGCCGGCAATCGCAGTGGCCACTCCTTCTCCTCGCGCAGCTCCTTGTCCCGGCGCCTGCTCCCCGCCTACCTCCATGCCGCCTTGGGCCTGCGCGCCCCCGTCGGGGCGCCAATAAGTCGCGCGGCGCGGCGAGGCCACCGGGAGGGGGGCGTCGAGTCGGGCCCGAGGCGATGCTTCAGCTAGTCTGAGACCGCCAGCATTAGCGCGTTGACTTGTTTCCTGGTCGTCTGGGCGGCCAGCTCTGTCGTTCGCCTGGCCGATGCGCCTCTCGGACTGCCGCGGCAGGATCGCCTCGCGGATGCCATCCTTGATCGCCCTGGCCACCGGCAATGACAGAACCAGAAGCCGCCGCGCCTCCCGATTGCAGCGCGACGCGCGCGCGACCCAGCTCGTCGATCCACGAGACTGCCGAGGCTACGGCGCAGGCAAAGGTCGCCTCGCCCATTCCAGATGATGGCCGGGCTCCAGGCGCTTCCCGCGGAGGCGCCACTGCCCGCGACGAACTCGAAGATGACTGGGCCCCCCATCGACGCCTGCCTGACCGTCGTCGAAGCTCAACAACGGGGTGTCGAAGCTCAACAACGGGGTGGCATCGTCGCGTCTGTCTTTCCACCTGCGCGCTATGTCGCCGGCCTTCGCCTTCGCGCAGATGTCGCGCCAGGGCCCAGCAAGGCGGCGCGTCGGCCCACGCCTCTCGACCGCCTCCGCGCGCGGCTCCCGTGGCCCAGGTTGTCCGCGCAAAATCGTTTCTGGCTACGCGCGCCCCCATCTTCTGGTACTGTTTTTGGCCCATCCTCGGGTGCATTTTTTAGTGCGTCCGCTGCAGGTCGCGGTGCTGCTGACGATGGTCGTGCTGGTGATGTTGCTGGCGCTGTCGGCGCACCACCCAGTGCCCGCGGCGCCGCTCCTCCGTCGCCCTCATCGCCGGGTCTCGCCGCCGCGGCCGCCGCCCCGACGGGCGCCGGCAGCGTCATCTCCGCGCGGGCCTCTGCCACGTTGACGTAGACCTTCGCCCAGCACTCCAGCATGCAGTGGTTGTTGACCTTCGCCAGCTCGACCAGGCCCGCCGCCTCGTGCTTCAACCATATTCCTCCACTGTCAGACTAGGCCGCCTTGGTGGGGGGCACGGCCGCAGAACTCCCCAACGCTCATGATGGGTTGCTTCGCGTCCGTGACCTGGAACCCCACGATGATCTTCGCGCCCCCCGCAACGCGCGGCGTCGCCGACTTCGAGCCGCGGTGCTTCGGGGGACTGCCGTCAGCGACCATCGGCTTCGGATCCTTGCTCGGCATGATCGGCGCGCGTGGGAAGTCGCCTCGACCGCAGACGTGCTCGCCCGCGCAGTTGTCCGTCAGCATCTACAAGGTGTTCCTGACGCCGTCTGAGACCGTGCTGTGCACAATATTGTGCTCCGTCGTCGTGATCGCGAAGGTGCAGCCTCTCTCCCACTCGCCTACGTAGGCTTGTTCCCACTCGCTATCGTAGGTCACCTCCAGCTGTGCGATGGCTCGAACTCCGGGCTGATGCGGCCCTTGGGCTCCAATCTGGCTTGCCGGTGGTCCGACCGTTGACGGCGCTGGGCTGCCTGGCCCCGACGTGCCGACATGGCTCCAGCCGTCGTTGGTCACCTCGCTCACGGTACCTGTTTAGCTGTTGCCGTCGCCTTTTCTGTCGATTCGCGCCCTTGACGTCTTGGCGCAAGCAGTCGCGCGCGCAGCGACCTCGCCCACCGCAGTTGTAGCACAGTCTGGCTCCAGGTGCGCCCGCAATGCTCCAAGGAGTTGTCTTCGTCGCTGCTGCCCTTGCCATCAGATCTGATCCGTTGCCCCTGTCCTTGCCGTCGCAGCCTCTGCCTGTGCCTTCCTGGTCTCCTTTGCCTTTGCCCTTGCCATTATGGTCGCCCTCGTCGCCGTACTGCCTCGTCATTGCATCCACCTCCATCGCTGCACCGCCGTGGTCCCTGCATGCAACAAACCCCTTTTCGGCGCCGTCTGGGTCCGCTGGTAGCAAGTGGTCGTAGACCGCTGATGCTTGCAACTGCTGTTTCGTCGTGCTGACCAGATCGTCGTACCTCGTCTTACGCTGCATATGTAGTACCGTTCGTATGTCGCGGGGCGCTTTTTGCAGGAAGATGCATTTCTTCACTCCCGCGTTGAACACGTATCCCGGCGCCTCCTCATACCGTCGGATGTCACGTTCCCGCTCCGACTGTTGTGTGTCGAACTCCGCCAGCGCACCAGGGAACAGCTTCGGATTGAGGACGCTGGTCATGATGTTCTGCGCCCTGACCGCGGTGGCTGGCTCGTACCGTTTGACCCACGCCCGCAATGCCAGCACACCGTTCTGGCCCTTGGCGCTCGAGATCAGCATCTGAACGCTCCCGTTCACCGCCATCACTAATGAGAGGAACATGTTCTCGTCGGCCGTTACACCTTCAGCGCTGGGCCTGTGTAGCGTGATGTCAGGACGTCCTTGATGCTCAGCTGCCTCCAGTAGGAGGAGGAGGAGGAGGTGAGCCTGCGCCGTGCGACCGCCAAGGCAGGCCCGCATCACTAACGACCACTCCATCCACTTCCCTTCGACCCCGTCGAATCTTTGGTGGTTTAAACCACGAACTTTGACATTATGCACCCGTCTCTTCCGTCTTTGATCACGTATATCATGATGTTGACGGTGCGCCTCCTGCGTTGATGCTTTCGGCTGTGATCACGTAGTTGTTGTTGATGGTGCAATTATTGCGTTGCTGCTTTCACTTGTGCCTCGTGTGTTGCTGCACGATGTTGTGATCACGTAGATTTTGGTGTTGCGTTTTGCGCGCTGCTGCTCAATGTTGCGCGTGTCGCGCTTCAGCTCAATATTATGCAGCTCGATGCTCCTCAATTCGATGCCGCCACTACCGTGGGCCCTCCTGCCCACGCGAAAGCGGCCGCGCGGGCGACCAGCGCCCCAGGTGGGGCACCCTCAGCGGGAACTGGCCGTAGCCATCTCCGCTACCAACCATGACAACTGTTGTGCCAAAGAGGCTACGGACACGATGGCCCTCTCTCTTTCCTCGATATCCCTCAACACAGGACACAAAGGGCACCCCTGATTTGCCAGGGTCGACCTACTGTTCAGGGCCGACTGTATGGGTACCGCTTCCTCCTCTTATATGCGGCCCTCGGCCTTCCCGGCCGCGGGATGCGTTCTGACAGCGGAATTTCGAAACGCATCCTACGGTGGCGACGAGGGCCTCCGAGGAGGCCCAGATAATGGGAGAACGGGCGAAGGCCAGCAACATGGGGTGGCCTCTTCCTCTGAACCTCGGCCCTCGGCCCTCCTCGGTCCTCGGTGCCCCGTCGGCCCTGCAGGCGCGGGGGGCAGCGGCGCGGCGCCCCCGGCGGGAGGGCCCTTCGCGGGCGGGGGGGGAGGGCCGCCGCCCGGGGCGGGGGGGCGCTCGCCCGCAGCAGGTTCGCGAGGTTGTTGATCGAGCCTCGGAGGGAGGGGAAGGGAGGGAGGAGCATGACAGCGCGGGAACAAAAAACACTGGGTATGTTGACCCCTGTGTTGACCCCTATCCCAGGCTTCGTGGGGTCGACGAAAAGGACCAGAAATTAGGGGCCCGACCCTGGGATGCACGATTGGTGGGGTGATCCTCGATGAGGGTGCGTCCGAATAGCGCTATGGGGTATCCCAGGGTTTTATCCTTCTTTTCTGAGCGGCCAAACCTTTCGTGCGGAACGACTATCGAAGTAGGAAGGCGGCTAAGAGTTGATTGGGATCAGAGGATCCAAACATACCTCCGTCCAGCGCCCGGCGTGTAACGTGATTGCTTCCTCTTCAGGACACGCCAACGCAATAACAGTCATGTTCGGCGCATTGGTGGTCAAACCAATACTGGGGCGTGCCGACATGACATAACAACGGTCAAATGCATCACACCGTAGCGCACTCATGACACAGCATAATGATCATCATGAGGACCGTACCTGAAAATCGCCAAACCATCGACCAGGAGGAGGAAGAGAAAGGGGAGGTGTGTGGGAGGGGGGGGGGTATACATGGATGCATGGAGCACGGCCTGGCCTGCCTCCGAGGAGCCAAGTCCGAAAATAGAAGGGGTGTCGCACGCACTGCGCAACCGGCATTCGAGGAGGAGGAGACGCGCAAGGGCATGTGTCCTCCTTGGAAGCGTGCGCTCGACCCGAACACCATGTAGAACCAGCTTGTAGTAGTTCGTCTCCCAGGCGGAATGTCGGCCAGACAGCGCCCGCCACGGAGCTTGCACTATGAGATTTCTCGGGGCGCGCGTCGCCCACGGGGTGGGCGACGAGCACACGGTATCAGTATATCGAGGTGACGCTGATAGGAGATCGACTACACTTGATTTACCCCAAAATCAATTGTTGTGGAATCGGAAGGAAAAAAACATCGAATGCCAGTTCATCTACGACCGCTACACATATTGCCTGTAAGTTCGGTGGAAAAAGAAATTCGGGGGTACACAGATTACGTACGCAGTCGATCTCCTTTTCGAGGCATGGAAGAAGGGTAAACATGCGGGCGAGTGCGCCCGAGCGAGATACACGCCGGCGATATGGCCAATCCGGTCGGACAAGGTGCAGCACGAAACAACGCATAGTGTGGTTTTGTTTCTGGGCAGTCGCCAACGTAGGACGTGGCGACAACATCATCACATCAAAAAGTCAGATTCGAAACAATGGTCGTCCATCTCTGCGGGGACGGCCATGCGCGATGCGCACCCAAAGTGTGGGACCAAGGCTAAACTGGGGTCCACTGTGGCGGGATCCCCCAAATTCCATGCACATCCTTCGGAATTATTCTGACCCGGGTCAATCCAGACCCGGGCCAGCAAAGCCTTGCAAAAGCCTACACGGTCTTGCACCCAAGCCCGGGTCAATGCGAAGGATCCTGCAAGATCCCGCAGGACCGTGCACCCAAGCCCAGGTCAATGCGACCCTGTCCCTGCAGGATCCTGCAAGGTCCACCGCTCTGGCTGACCCCCGTTTGCACTGACCCCCGTCTCAAAGCTCCCGAATCCTGAGGGTGTCGAGAACTACCGGTCCCCAGGACACATTCCGCTTCGGGTCAAGTCCGCCGAGCAAGCGCCCGAGATGTTCACGGCCTGCGGCGGAGCGGGGGGGAGGAGCGGGAGGAAAAGGGAGAGGAGGAGGGGAAGCCCTAGTATCCTGGCGTCTCAATTTTTCCGCACCAGGCGTTGTCGCCCTCTTTCAGGCCCCAAGACCCTCACAGATCGATTTGGTTCGAAAAAGGGCGTGGAAAGATTGGGTCTAGGGTCGCAGTCGTGATTGTTCACCATGTAGCATTTTTTCGGCGTCGCCAGTCCCCAGGAAAGAGGAAGGAGGAAGGATCGGGGGGAAGAAAGAAGGAAAGAGTGGGATGCAGGAGGAGTCCTCCTTCCTGCCCAGGAACCATGGCGATCCGATCGATCCGATTCGAGATCGACCCTGGCTGGAGCGATCCGGGTCGATCCCGATGGCCCTAACAAGGTGGAAACGAGGCAAGTGTAGCGATATCAATGCCTTTACCTCCTCTGTTCTGTTGCAGCCTCGGGTGACCTTGTCTGTCCCGTCTCGGCCCTATCCGCGTCGAATCCGTATCGAATCAATGTCGGCCTCCTCGCATCCGTGTCGAATGTGAATTGAATCCGCGTTGAATCCACTCCAAATCCGCGTCGAGTCCGCATCGAGCCCGCGTCGGGCAGAGGATGAGACACAAATTCTCGGGACGGCGAGGTCCGCCGAAGATGCAACATAACATGTGGAGGTGGGTCTGCATTATCTGGGATCCGAAAGAGTGGAGCACTACTTCCCCCTGGAGACACCGCTGGCGCTGCAGCCGGGGATGGCGCCGGCTGGGCGTGGAGGGCAAAGAGGAAAAGAAGGAGGAATGATGGAGGAGTGGGGGAGGGAACAGGAGGGAGGGAGGAGGGGAGGATGAAGGGCAGGGAGGAGGGGAAAGGGAGGGGAGGGGAGGGAGGGAGGGGGGCAGGATCAGGCGACACCAACTTGGCAGCAAACGGACCGAATTGGGATGCGCGTCGGATCGGGCCGCATGCCGCATCCCCCCCCCACGCTTCTCCTGCCGCCGCTGCCGCTCCTGGTCGCCCTGATTCGGCGGTGGACAAGCCTCCCTTTAGTAAACCTCCCTTTAGTGAAAAAAGGCCGAGGACCCAAACCGACGGACCTGGACCCGCAAAAATGACGGCCGCGACGCCCTCTCGCGAACCGAAAGCGGCCAAGTCGCTAATCGAAGTGTCAGGGTGGGAGGTCTATCCACCTCCGACTCCTGCCGCCGCTGCCGCTCCCAGTCGCCCTGATATTCTCCCTGCCATCGTCGCAGCCAGGGCGGGAGCCTAGCGTGTCCGGGTGCAGGGGGCCGAGCGTGGCCTCGCGATGCGCGGCGGGCGTGGGTGGGACGCAGAAGGACATACGAGCACAATGAGTTCGGGGATGGACAGAACCCCCTCTAGCAAAACGTGGTTTAGTGAAAACGACCTCGGGCCCAAACCTGGCGGGCGCAATCCTGGAAAATGACGGCCGCGGCGCCCTCTCGAGAACCGAAAACGGACAATTCACTAATCGACGTGTCAAGGTGGGGGTTCTGTCCACCCCCGATGAGTGTTCCGTGGAGGCGCGCTTCAGACTAATTCGTGTACTACAAACGTACTCGAGCAGATCGTTTCCCGAGCGGTGTGACCAAAAAGCGCCCGCCACAAGACATACAATGTAACATTTCTCGGCTCGCGCTTCGCCCTTTGGGGGATCGACGCACACATAATACTGTGGTGGCCCATGTATCAGCATGTTTCGATGACGCCGAGCGGGGATGGGATATCGCAGTAGCAAGAAGAAGCCAAGACCCGGACAACACCGGACCAGGACACATCGGGGATCTCTGAAATCTGGCGAACCTGAAAGATCTATCGGGCGCCGAAGCCTCTCCAGTGCGCTCCAGGACGCTCGAGGAGCGTTCTGGAACACCATGGGTCGGCGGTGGACAAACCGCCCTTTAGCAAACCACCTTTTGGTGAAAACGGCCTGGGACCAAAATCAACGGACCTGGACCCGCAAAAATGAAGGCCGCGAACCGAAAACGGCCAATTCGCTAATCAACGTGTCAGGGCAGGAGGTCCATCAACCTCCGAGTGGGGCGACTCATCCCGGCCCTGATCTCGCCCGGCTTGGGCGAGGGCGCAGGGGGCGACAGGCGGAAGGCTCGTGCTTTTGTTCGCACGCTGTGGCGTGCTGCGCTGAGAGGGGGGGCGGGCACAAAACGCAGAAGCCAACAGACTGCTCCGCCGCAACATGGCAGAAGCAGTCCGCACGGGCACTCGAGTTCTCGGGGGCGCGCGACAAACAGAGCATCCTGCTGCAAGAGAGAGCGCGCGGGAGTAGAAGCGGCCGCAAAGGACAAGCAGGAGGAGGAGGGCACACACGGCTGGAAGCGTTTCGGGATGAGCGCGCCGGAACGGCCAGCCGGGGACGAAGAGGCCTGGCAATGGACGCGGGACGGCATGACGGCCACACCCAGGGACTGAAGCTCGACCTTGGCCCTGGTGACTTTGGACAGATCACACGCAGGCCAGGGAGGGCGGAGCAGCCTGGCCGCCAACACGCAAACAGCCTCGACGACCTCTGCTCGGCGGCACGCAAGGAGTGACCCTGGGCAAGACCGACCTTTGGCGCGCGGCGGAGCGGGGGACGCGGGGTGGCCAAACCTGGGCGCGCAAGCCGCTGCTACAACTGTGCGTGCAACGGCCAGGGCTGCAGGCCCTGGAAGCCCACGGATTTCGAAAAGTCAATGATAAGTATCGGATTACAGTGGCCAGAGGGTGGGCCAGAGATGGTGCCAGAAGCTAGCCTGATGCTGTGCCGCTATCGTTGCGCCATAATGGCCACGTGATTGTTCTGGTCTTCTTCCCGTGTTGTTATGTGGTTGGCATTTGGGTTAATGGATTTCTGATGCGCCCAGTCGATGTGAAATCGTTTGCTTGCGCGCGTTCTGGCAATTTGCCATTTGCATTTCCAATGCGACCACCTAGTACGTGGCATGGGTCGTACGGCAAAAAGTTCGAGCGACGCTGCCAGATCCAACACAAGATTTCGCCTCCGAGTGGATCTCCGGGTACCTTCAGATGTCGACGCCCGCCCTGGTACCCTGATACCCTAAGTCCCTAAGACCCTCGGGCCCTGGGACCCTGATACAAACACACACCCTGGGACCCTCACACCCTGAGACCTTTGGACCCTGAGCCCCATATGCCATGACCAACAAGGCCCCAACACACTAAGACCATGAGACCCCAAGACAATAAGAACCTGAGGCCCCGAGACACTAGAACCCCCAGCAAAGCCCCAGGAGGGGCCCAAACAAGGCCCAAGAGGGCCCCGAGCCCGCGAGCTTGACAGGACAGGTTTGAAGGCATTAGGTCGCCAGCAGGCGAGCTTGAGGGAACAGTTGTTGAAAGCTTCAGGTCGCCAGCAGGCTGGGGCTCGCTTTAGGCTGCGAGCTTGAGAGGACAGTGCTTGAACCCATTAGGTTGCCATCAGGCTAGGGCTTGCTCTAGGCTGCGAGCTTGAGAGGACAGTTTGAAATCATTAGGCTACCAGCAGATGAGCTTTAGAGGGTAGATTTGGGAGCGGAGACCTGCTCTACATTTGGATTCAGTGGCTCTGTGGTGCCTGAGGAGTGTCCCAGCTGTGTTCCGCATGCTGTGCAGCGGTTTTGCCAATGCCTTACACTTCTTTCACATGCGCTTTTCACTGGCTTACACCTGGCTTGCACTGGCGCTTTCATCCGGTCTACACTGGCCTACATCCGGTTTACACTGGCTTACACCCGGTTTACACTGGCGTACACCGTATTTACACTGGTTTACACAACTTTACACTGGTTTCCACCCGGTATAACACTGATTTACACATGTGTTACACTGGTTTGCACCCGCTTAACACTGTTTACACTCGGTTTACACCACCAGGTTCACACTGGTTTACACCTGTATTACCATTTTGTACACATGCATTACACTCTTGTTACACATATGTCAATGGGTACCAATTGTTTCCCCTTCTGGACTGGAGCCAACCTTCACCTCAGACGTGCTTGGGTCCTCGGATCCCGGCCCCTAACCCTCTCTCCCAGCGCAGAGCCGACACCCAGAACGACCCGAACAAGAGGACCAAAAGTGTCAACATGCATGGCTCGGGGAAGGGTCGTGGCAAGGGTTGTGGCAGGGGTTGTGGCCGGGGTTGTGGCCACCTCGGAGGCCTCAAAACTCAAAGTCCGGCCACTGGCGGCCAATCCTTACCACACGGCGCGCGCTGCAAATGGCGTGGCGAAACCGACGGGCCACCAGTCCCGCGCTGCAGGGAAGCTGCCAGCAAGGCCACAGAGCCCGACGCCCCCCAGCGGGCGTCGGGAAGCCGCCGTTCCAGGCCGTTCTGGAAGAGTCCGAGGGCCCTGGGAAGGCCACAAGACATCATTGAGGGCCCCCAGAGGGCCCGAAGATGGGCCCAAGACGGCTCCAAGAGGGCCCCAAGACGGGGTTGGGAGTGTTCGTTTTGAGGGGCCCTCAAAGCGAACGTTCCCAGGCCCCTCTCGGAGCCTTCTTGGGCCCCTGTCTTGGCCTTCTTAGAACCCTCTCATACCATTCCGAAGGGTCCGAGGGCCCTGGGAGGGCCACCAGAACGCCCTTGAGGCCCCCCGAGGGCCCCGAAATGGGCCCAAGACCGCTCCAAGAGGGTTCAAAGACGGGCTTGGGAGTGTTCGTTTTGAGCGCCCTCAAAACAACACCCGTGCCCCTCTCGGAGCCTTCTTTGAGCCCTCTTGGGCTCTCTTGGAGCCCTCCCAGGCAGTTCTGGAAGAGTCTCAGGGCCCTGCGAAGGCCACGAGACACAAGACAACTCCGAGAGGGCCACAAGACGGGCTTGGGAGTGTTCGTTTTGAGGGGCCCTCCAAAACGATCACTCCCAGGCCCCTCTCGGAACCTTCTTGGGGCCCTCTGGGAACCCTCCCAGGCCGTTCTGGAAGAGTCTGAGGGCCATGGGAAGGCCACAAGAACGCCAATCAGGGCTCTCAGAGGGCCCCACGATTGGCCCAAGATGGCTCCACCCCGCGACGGGCTTGGGAGCGTTCGTTTTGAAGGCACCCAAAACGAACACTCTCAGGTCCCTCTCGAAGCCTTCTTGTTCGTGGGCCGGCAACCCCTTATCGGGGATTGTGGTGGACAAGATCCACACTTCGCGTCCTCCCCTCTCCTCCCATCGCCTGCCCGCCCCCTACCTCCCCGACCCACAAATTATCACCCCTTTCCTCCTGGCCCCTCCCCTGCCTCCATTCGCCCCCTCCCCCATTCACTCTCCACCCCCGTCTGCCCTCTCCCTCTCCAGTTAGGGGGCGAGTGAGCGAGGGTGCGAGGGAGGGATGACGAAGAGGGTGAGGGAGGAGAGGGAGGACGAGGAAGATGACGAAGAAGAGGAGGGAATACGCGGATGAAGTTTATCTCGGGAAGGGGACGGATACCTTCCACGGCGTGGCAATATTGGAGAACACTGAATTGAAAGATAAATACAAACTGCCGCGAGAGGCCCCCGATAAAAAAACAACAAAACAATCCTTATGCATCCGGCCGCCCTTTTGGCCGCACTTGTGGCCACTGTTTTCTGGTATTTACTTGTGTACTGACCATTGACTGAATAACACGGCGTGGAGGAGCGGGAACGCGGGAGCATCCTGTTGCCGGTCACGTTGCCAGGAACGTCAGGTTTTGCTACACAGGGCGGGCGCCAGCTGGATGCTGGAGCAGGATGGTCCAGGCGAAGCAGACGCAAAATCCAACATTGTTGGGCCAACGCACAAACACATACACACAAGTCCTTGGACGTGGGGGTGGCGAAACGTAGGGCCGCGGAACAGAAATGCACAGCTCGCTGGGGGAGGGGGGGGGGGGGGCGGAGAGGGCGCACAAGAGCACGTCTGGCGTGCATGCCTTTCCGCCTCAACCCGCGCGCGTAACTTCCTCGGCCCGGGGGGGAGGGCGTCACCGCAGAAGGGGAACAAATCCCGAGCAGTGCACGACTACGACGACAACGACGACGACGACGGGGAGGATGGTTCGGGATCGTCCAAAGGCCCGGGAATTCCAGAGGCCTCGGGAGGCATGCGGAGGCCCCCGAAAGCTTCCTCCGAAGACCCTCCGAGAGGGGTGCGAAGGTGGAGTCGTGGTGGCCGTCGACGTTCGGAAGACTTGGAGTGTTTCGGGGATCTACTGCCCTGGGTCAACGCACGCCCAGGACAGTCAGGCCTTGTAAGATCCTGCAGGATCCTGCAGGATCCTGCATATGCAAGATCATGTGCGCTAGCCCGGGTCAGTGCAACCTGGGCT